TCCCTACACTTTAGAAGAGCTGTCTGATAATGGCTGAACCATAGAAATACGTAATAGGGCTAAGCACCCACAATCCGAGACATCCATCCATAGGTTCAGTGCAGCTGCCCCAGGCCCCATGTTTTAGGGGACCCCGTGGTGGCCACCTCAATTATCCTATGGATGGATCCCTAGGGTATGTCTAGACTACATGCCTCTGGCGACAGAGGCGTGTAGATTAGGGTACCGGACATAGTAAAATGAAGCGGCGATTTAAATAATCGCCTACATGGCTGCCGCGCTGAGCCGACAAACAGCTGATCAGCTGTTTGTCGGCTCAGCGCGGCAGCCATGTAAATTTAAATGAAGCGGCGATTATTTAAATCGCCGCTTCATTTTACTATGTCCGCTACCCTAATCTACATGCCTCTGTCACCAGACGCATGTAGTCTAGACGTACCCTTAATGAGAGTGTTTTAGCACAAAAGAAAGCATGTGTGGGGTCTGGCCCCTGTCGTGTTCCAGGCTATCAGACAGCTAGGAAAAGGGGGAAAAATATTGTTTGGGGAGGGGGGCATAATCTAGCAAATTTTAGTTCAAGAATGGAGGCGGCTCAGAATTTACACATGGTCCTTTTTTTTTAAGTCACTCCTGGGGCCTGGTTTTAAGTGCTTGACGGGAAGTTCAGCCCCTAAAGATTGCAAGATTGTTCTGACCTTGCACAGTTACCAAGCAGAAACAAAAGGCAGACCTATGTAGCACTTTAAAGACTAACCAAGCAGGGTGAGGGGAGAAAGTTCAGTAAAATTGATGGTAAAGTAAAATCTGTCGGGAGAAAAACAAGAGCTTTTTCTAGAGAGGAAAATGCCAATTTTTCACAACGAGTAATTGGAAGTGTGGGAACTAAATAATGAAAACCAGGAATTATGCTATCTCCGTAGGAAGATCCCTGTGTTGACTTAAGTGGTAGAGCCTGGTCTCATGTCATAAATTGGGGTGTAAATGCCATACATTTCATACTCTTTAGCTTTATTTCCCCTGAGCCAGCTTTAAAACAAGTAAAATCTTGCTCTTTTACAACTCCCGATTCTGTATTTTCAGTTTTAGTGCTAGGCACTTCTGTCTTTAACAGCCCTATTGCTTCCTCAGGAGACCTGAAAAGTAGCTGGTTGTATTGATATTTTCTTTGGTTGCTCTCCTATTACAAAGTGTCTGGCCATTGCATAGTGAGAAAAGTATTGTTGTGACCAGTAACTGGCATAAGAATTTCGAAGACCTACTTTGAGATGAGTTGTTAACCTGTGAAAATCACCAATATTGGGCCAGTTCCTACTCGTGCCTTAATCAGATTTTGCAGGGAATTTGGGTTTGTGTGAAGACGGACTTTATCCTACACAATGTAGGTAGCTTGTTTTAAACTAAGCCTTAAACAATATGCAAGAATAAAGTGGAGGAACTTGTTCCAAACAATGTCCATCAATATTTGAGCTAGGGATGTTAAATATTGGTTAATTGAATAGTCAGTTAACCTCATGAATTCTTATTGGTTACTCAACTATTCTGTAGTCCCCGGGGGTGGGACTGTTAGCCAGTGTGCTCCGGCCCCACTCCCGAGGATCCTGCTGCCTTTGTATCAGAGACAGCAGCATGGGGGGGCAAGCGGGAGCTAGTCTGTGAAGGGAGCCAGTTTAAAAACCAGCTACCCTTGTGGACCGGCTGCCTGTCACCCTGTGCCTTTGATACAGAGGCAGCTGCATGGGGTGGTGGCAGTCCCTGTCTGGGGCAGGGGTCAAGTCTAAGCTCCTGGACCTGGCACGAGCTGGGACTGAGTTGGGCTGCTTGCACTTCCAGCTCCTAATACACTTCAAATCTAGAGCCACAGCAGAGTTAGGTCTCAGACCTGGTGCAAGCCGGGACTGAGCTGGGTTGCTGGCCAGCTTGCTAAAAAACGTATTGGCAGGGATGAGGGGGGAATGCATGTCATCTATAGCATTAACCAATAAGATTTTGCTTATTTGTTAATTGACTATACTATTACATCCCTAATTTGAGCCCACAATTTTCTAAAATGGGAATTTGAACGTCGACTCCGATGATCTCTCTCTATTCTTATGAGTAAGTGGCCAGATTTTCAGTAGTGCTGAGCAGAGGGAAGGTTGGCCATATTGATGACCGGGATTTTATTTTCCCCTTGCTCCTCAAGTGAATCTGTTCCTGGTTAATTTCCTGAGGCGCTTGCAACACAACCAGTATGTCCCACTGCTGCCCCCTAGTGGACAAAAGGGATAGATTTGTGTAAGGCTTAACTCCCCCGGAAGAACTGAGTTATACTAATGCTCAGCTGAGGAAGGTTCCTCAGCCATGGCTATTTCCTCTTTACAAAAGCCCCTACAGTCTATTTGAAAAACTAGCCTCTCTACTTTAACATATTCAACCTTTATTTTAAAAAAATCTTTAAAGCATCACAGGTTGGGTCACAGTTGTGCCCAAGAAACTGGCACTAATGTAAGAAGGCCATGGCAATGACAGAGGCATTCCCTCTTAGGTAAATAGCCTGGGTCAGGGCTCACCCAGCTGGTATACCTGTGGAAAGCGCTTGGTGCTCCACCTCCCCTGGTCAGTCAGTATTAGATGTAATTCCTAGGACTAGATTCACCAGGAGGCCCGCTCTGCAGGGCTGGAGCAGAGAGGCTGTTTTTTCCCATCGCTCTCTACAACTAAGTGTGGAGGGTTTCCTGCACCCTCGCAGGAAAAGGGTGTAGTGTGGACAAGCTGTCCGGTAGCAGGGCAGTAGGCAGTGACTGACACACGCTAAAGTGGAGCTCTTGTGTTATAGCAAAAGGGGAGGGGAGAAATGGTGAGGTTCTCTGGCTACAGGAAATGCATGATGGACAGAAAATGAAAGTGTGGTGGGCCCACTACCCCACCTGCATTTTTGTGGGGGAGAACCTGGATTTTTGTCCATTCTGGCTAGACCTTCCACCATACTTTGTGCAGGTTATTTTATGAACGTAGCAGACACCTGTGCTTGGGAGGTGGGTGGTGAATGCGCTCCTTGTTTGCCAGGGCCCTGAATTGGCAATGCTTGTGCAAAGGAGATGCCTGGTCTTGTTTCTCAGAAACGTCCCTCATGCTCTCTGCAGAGGCAGGGCCCTAATGCTGTCTTCTGAAGATGGGCAGGGAAAATACTGAGGAAAGGCAGCTCAATGCTATTGTCCAGCCCCCTGGGAATGGCTGCTTGACAGGTTCAGAGAGCGGAGGCTTTGTTAAAAAATGTCAGGTGCACTGGGTGTAAACAAGTCATCCTTCATTGTTTCCCTTTGCATTTCATCTCCCACCCTGTGGGCTACAGCCTCTGTGTCAAGGTGACTTGTGGGTGTTGATTCTATGAAGCTGAGTAAGAGCCGTGGTAACTTTCTGGAGCTAATGAGTAATGCAGCGGCGGGGGTTGCTTTTAGCTGATCTGGAGTGCAGCCTGCTTAGCCAATCAAAAATCTGGATAAGCTGGAGGATGGGAAACTGTGGTGGTGCTGCACCATCTAGGGGCCACCTTTGAGTCTGGGCTATTCAATTTCATGCAGAGGACTGAATAGTGGAGGGGCAGCATTCCAGTGTAGCCAGAGGTGTGGGAACAATTTGTAGGGGGGGGGGCTGCTGTGACCCAAACTCTAACCCCTCTATATAAAGGAAACTACTTCAAGCCTGAGGGTGCTGCAGCACCCCCATACCGCTAGTTCTACCCCTTAGGAGTTAGGGCTGGCTAACCATGTAACCACTGATGTTTTTCAGTGGTTACACTCACATATCAGAGACAGCAGTGCAGAGTGGCAGTTGGCTCCCTGAGAGCCAGAAAACCTAATCCAGACTAGCTGGGATGGTGAAGGAACATGCCAGTTCCAGAGGTAAAAAATGGGGGAGGGGCGCGGTCCCTAGGGACACCACCAGGCTTGGTGAGTTCATTTCATTTTTAAATGTCTCTCTTTACCAGAGCAAAATCTGTGAGCAACATTTTCTAGGGAGAATTGGGGGTAGGACTAGGTTCTTGGCAACCAGGCGGCATCCAAGTGTAACCCATATGCCTCCAACATGTGGTTGCTGTCCTCTGGTGGCACTGAGACCACTGACAGAGAGAATGAGTCTGCTCCACAGCGTCAAGCTGGCTTGTTAGGCTTAGTGGCTCACGTTCTAAGCTCCAACAGGCCCAGGTTCAATTCCACCTGCAGACAACTGGACTCTGCCTGTGTTTCAGAAGTCCATGGGCCTCTCCCATTGAACTAGGCTATCAGGCTATAAAAACCTGCCCGTGTACAGACAGTAATGTAGCAGGAGTAGGGAAAGTGACTCAGACAAGAGGTGGCTACATGGTCCCCCATGACTGACAACTGTTCCAAGACTTAGATAAGGGGCACGCTTAGCTCCCCTTTACTACCTTCTGACACCTCCAGGTTGACTTCCTATGCATGGCGAATGCTGCTTCCTTGTCCAGTGGGGGTGGGCGGGGTTCAATTTTCAGTAGAATGGGGTTTTACTCCTCCATCTGCACGTTCACCTTCCTGAACAGCAGAGTACGGGAGTGACAGCCGACTACAGAAAGCACAGGCCTATCAGGACCAGCACCACTGCCCCCTTAGCATGGCAGGGCATTATTACCAATAGAAAACCATTAATAATGGAATGATAAAACTGCAGCGTGGAGCTACACACAACATCCCTATGTACAGTAACATTCTTGTTTACATCAGTTGGGTTAGGAGGGTGGGTGGCCCTTTGTGTTCTTCCCAGCTGTGTGAGGAGGATGGTTTTTCATGAAGGTCACAGACTTCCCATTCCATCGTGTCTTCTAAGCAAATGGCACAAGGTGGCACTAGAGGGCAGGGAGGCTTAGCCTGGACCTTTGACTGCAGCTGACTGAATCCTCTGTTCCACACATGGGCAAGTCCAGTCTTTGTAGTCCATCTTTGAAACTGTAATCCTCCTAACTGGTTCCTTTTTTCTCCCATTCCTGCCAAGAACAGAACCAAACCGCAGTGAACAAAAGAAACAAAACCAAACCTCATGCTCAAGAAAGGACTCAATGGCTGGGTCCAGACTGGCAAGTTTTTCTGCAAAAGCAGCTGCTTTTGTGGAAAAACTTGGCAGCTGTCTACACTGGCTGCTTGAATTTCCGCAAGAACACTGACGATCTCATGTAAGGAATCAGTGTTTCTTGCAGAAATACTATGCTGCTCCCCTTCGGGCAAAAGTCCTTTTGCACAAAGCTTTTGCGCAAAAGGGCCAGTGTAGACGGCTCAGATTTGTTTTGCGCAAAAGAGCCCCAATCACAAAAATGGCAATCGGGGCTTTTTTGCGGAAAAGCGCATCTAGATTGGCATGGACGCTTTTCCGCAAAAACTGCTTTTGCAGAAAAGCGTCCGAGCCAATCTAGACGCTCTTTTCCGCAAATGCTTTTAATGGAAAACTTTTCCATTAAAAGCATTTGTGGAAAATCATGCCAGTCTAGATGTAGCTAACTAGTTTTAACCTGTGTAGGATACAAATTCATTAACACAATCATTCCTTCACCTATCGGTTCAGGCTGACCCAGGCAGTTCTGAGGGGTTAAGATATTTCTGTAGCATCAGTCCTGGCCCACAGCACCTTAGCCACCTAAGAAGAGATGGCCCTCTCCCCAGCCGTGTTTGTAACCTAAAATTGACAACAACGACCATCTCCACAGGTAGGGAACAGGCCAGAGGCAGAGACTATGACACTGAAAAGGAGGTCAGTGTTGGGAAGCTACGTGAAAGGAGTTTTACGGAAGGGCAGGAAGCCAGCTCACCTCATGTCTTAGCTTCCCCGTGGGGGAGGAGGAGTGCCTAGCAGGAGACTCCTTCAAAAGGAGCTTGCACTAGCTCTGAGGAGAACACCAGGCCCTGTCAAGTTGGGCACCCAAAAAATCAAGTCCCTTCTGAAAGACCAGGACGTTGTAAATAAACCCCAGGGTTAGTCCCAGGATATGAGACACACAAGGTTGGTGAGGTATCTTTTACTGCAACACCTTCTGTTGATATGAGAGACAAGCTTTCAAGCTACACTCACCTGAACTAGAGCTCTGTGTCTCAAAAGCAAGTCTCTGGCACCACCAGATATTAGTCCAATAAAAGGTATTACCTAGGCCCACCAATGGGGCATGGGGGAGAAGGGGCAGCTTCCCCAGGGTCTGATGGTTTAAAAGGAGCTGGGGCTCCCACCCACTGCTACTGCAGCAGCAACTGGAGCCCCAGGCCCTTCAAAATCACCTCCAGAGCCATACTCCCCCACACCACCACTTTGTCCTGCAGCCTGGAATTACCATGTCCTTAGCGTGCCTCTGGTATTTGCATGGCACTCTGCATTCCAAATGCATAATGGAGGCTGCCAAGTCGTATCACCCACTCGTTTACAGAAGTGCCCGCTGAGGGAGGTTATATAACTATCTCAGCGTCTCTCAGTGCGCTGGCTGGTCCCTAATACAGCGGGGGTACGTCCTGGACCAGGCCCACGCCAGGACTGAGTGGGCTGCTGGCCAGCCTGCTAAAAAAAAATGACTGGGGGAAATGCGTGTAGTTTTGCTTCCCGCCTTACCTTAGCTTTCTGTAGAACTGTCCCTTTTCCTGTCACCATGATGGATAAAGGCCTGTTTTTTAAAGCTGTAGCTGAGTTGACCGGGGAGCTCTCTGTGCTACTTGCCTGGGTGGCCGTTTTCACCTGTATTTACAATGAAAGTAACAGGTTAGATTCACCTTTGGTCTGACCAAGTATGGCCATTCGCATGTTCATTCTCCATGGGTAACACCTGATGACCCAATAGGTCTTTTGGGTCCATAATTACTGTATCAACCAAGTACATTTTGGTTGCTATTTAGGCTTAAATCATCAATATGGACAAAGGCTACAAGCAGAGGTGAACACAAACTGCAAAGATTGGCTCTAACGAACTCAGGTAGTTATTGGCCTTCGTTACTGCCGTCTCTCAGCACGTCTCATACTGCAGCTGTTCGGTGTGGGGATTCAGAGCTGCTATTGCCCATTTGCAGACCAGAACTGAGGGGCAGAGATGCTGAAGGCCCAGTGCTGCATTTCCAGACCTAACCCTCATTGAAAGCAGTGGGTTAGTCTGTGGGCGCTTAAATACCTTTGTGGACCAGGGCTGCCTCTGTGAGTTACCCAATGCTCTGAGGTGAGGCGTCATTGATGACAGTGCCACCCCGAGGCACATTTCCTCCCCCAGCCTGCCCCCCTCAAAAGCAATGGTCCCTTGCTGCAGCACTCCACTCTTGCTCCTGCCCCACCCCATGGGGTGCAGCTCACCCCGTCTCCAAGGTCACTGACTGGCTTAGCTCTGCCAGCTGCTGCACAGGAAGGGGACACCACAACCCAGTAGGGCTGACTCTTGAGTCAACACATGTGGAAGAGGAGCAGCTCTTGCCCTGCCCCAAGCCCCTGGAGGCTAGGCGGCTTCCAGCTGTGGTGTCCAAGGGCTCCCTGGCTGGGGGTTTCTGTGCATTAGCCACTCCATGGTCAGGGTTCAATCCCTCTGCCCCCCGGTCCCTATGCAAGACCCAAACACCAGGGCAGACACCCAACCCAAAAGACCAGTGGTGATCCCATTGGGATACCACTACCCCCCCCCCCCCCCCCCCCCCGGCGGTCTGGATGTCCTGGCTAGAAAGTTGCAAAACAAAATGTAAATATAAATCTTGGGGGGAATGTAACCTCACTTTCACTCCCATCCCTGCCCCCGGTCACCTCGCATGCACAAAGCCTGTGACAGAGCAGGCACTTAACTCGGGGTCTCCCCAGTGCCTCCAAAAGCACCTTTCATCACTTCTCTTCCACTGTGCAGCAGGGATGGGCTCTGGGATTCAGGAGCCCTATTTCTGAGGCTGCCTCTTGAGATTGGGGAGCTGTAAAGAGCATCCCCTCCCCAGAGTCAGGCCTGGATTAGCAGCTGCCTGCCACTTGGCTGGGAAACAGCAGACCTTTAGCACCGCACGTACTTTGGGGCTTGCGTTCTCTAGGTGGGTGGTGTCCACCGCTGTGCCAAGTGTCACCGGGCCAGACTCTGCTTTCTTCAGGTTCTCTCTCACTTCCACAATGCTCAGTTCCAAGTCAACCCGCCTGCTCTCTTTTTTTTTGCACTCCTCCTCGATTTCCTTCAGCTTCTGTTCCACGTTCACCACCAGGCCATTATCTGCAGAGGGAAGAGCAAATACACACACCCACACCCAGCTGAGTCACGGGGATCACTGTGCTCACAGATCCTCCGTGCATAGGTTGCTTTTCTCAGGCAAGAGTGAGAAGGTCGGTGGAGGTCACGCATGTGTCAGTAGATGGAGTATAAGACAATAAGTTAGCCATGACCAACTCCTGAAGGCTCCATTGTTCTGGGAAGATCTGAGCAACTGTTCCTCTATAAATAATCTTTCTGGGATTGGGCAGGTTGGATCCATATGAAGGGGGTTTGTATGACTTGTGAGGGCGGAATAGTGATTGGGAGGAATGAATAGTGTAATAGTAAATGTAAAGGGACACTGTTCAGCATTGTTTCTTAAACTTTTTAAGATTGAGGAACACCAAACATTTTTTTTTATGAGGCACACCAAGGAAGGAAAGTTATTAAACAAAAAAAAAAGTCGCCTGCCCCTTTAAGGGCAGCCATTTTGAACTCGTTGTTCTCCGTGGCACACCTCCAACTACCTTAAACAGTTTAAGAAACACTGCTGTACAGTAACACATTGAATATGGAAAGACTTAAACAACAAATAGACTAGCAGCACCTTAAAGACTAACAAAACATGTAGATAGTATCATGAGCTTTCGTGGGTACAACCCACTTCATCTGAAGAAGGGGGTTGTACCCACGAAAGCTCATGATACCATCTACATTGTGTGCAGTTGTCTCTGGCAGCTTCCTGCCCAGCCACAAGAGGGAGACATTGCTGAGCCTATGGATTATTCCGAATCATACAACGTAACTAACTGCATAGATAGGGTGGGCAATAATTTTTACTGGCGGCCCACTCCAAGATTTTGGTAAGTGGTCAAGGGCTGCACTTCTGTGGAGGCAATGCGGGAGAGTGGGGGTGTTTGGGACAGCAGGTGGGATGTAGAAGGGAGCTTGGGATAGAAGACTGTGGTGCAGGAGGGAGTGTGGGAAGGAGGGAATTTGGGTGAAGGAGAAGGTTATAATCTGGGGCAAGGACTTGGGGTGCAAGGTCCAGGAGGAGTTATGGGTGTAGGAGAGGGTTTTGGCCTGGGGGAGGTGTGGAGGAAGGGGTGCAGGCTCTGGGAGGGAGTTGTGACCTGGGAGAAGGGCGTGCAGAGAGTTTGGGTGGTGACATGGGTCAGGGAGGGGTACGTATTCAGGAAAGGATTCTGGCCTGGGGGAGGGTGGAGAAGGAAGTACAAGGGCTGGGAGGGAGTTGTGAGCTGGAGGAAGTGGCGATACAGAGGGTTTGGGTGCAGGTTGTTGGAGGGAGAGAGGGGGTGGGGTAGGGTGCCAGAAGCAGACTCTGGCTGAGAGGCACTTATCCCAGCTAGCCACTCTGCAGGCTCCCTGCCTGTGGGCTGCTCCACGTGGCTCTGCTCCGGCACAGGGAGGGGAGGGGGAGTGAGGAGGCTTCATTCGCTGCTCCCGCCTTCCTCCAGCAAAATTTCTCAGCTCCTATTGGCCAGAAACTGGCCAATGGGAGCTTGGAGATTTTGCTGGGGGTGGGGACAGCGTGCAAAGCCCTCTCCTCCCTGCTCAGCTTGCAGAGCAATTGGCAGCCTGCTCTTTAAAGTGGCTGCCCCTGCTCTGTAGTAAGGGGCCTGGCAAGGGGACCGCAGACCGGATTCAGCCCACTAGCTGCCTCTTGCCCACCCCTGGTATAGACCCATCATAATTAGTTATAGCTCAGCGTGACCAGAACTTAGCCCTCAATGATGAGCACAAGATCACTAATTCTCAGAAGCTTTTCCAACTCCACTCAGCTGCCCTTGTGTTGAGGAGCCAATGCCCACTGAAATGGTACCTTAGCAAACACCTTTGAGGCTCTGGGCCTAAGTGTCTTACGCAAGGTTAGACAGGAAGTCAGTGCTGGAGCAGGGAATTGAACCTGAGTTTCCCCAAGTCCCAGGTTAGTGCCTT